TAATTTACTATGACTTTTGAGGGTCAATGTACTAAAAATTTGTAAAATTCCATAACGCCTGATCAAATTCATCTAATAACCATGTCCATACAAGTGATTGCCGTCTAAATTAATAGGTGTTATTATCTTACTTAGATGATGTTTGTCGCAAGTGTATAAAATATAAATAGAAATTATTGCTTGTATGGTTTGCCCTTTTTATGCTGAAATTATGTATAAGGTTGTAATAACGCTACTTATTCACTTCCCTTAGGAGGTCTCATTAAGCCTGCGGGAGTTCGAAGCTTAAAAGTCATTGATGGTTTGTTTTCATTTTAATTAAATTATTGTATGAGTGAAAATAACTCTTTTAAGATTATTAAATTATATATTGGAATAATTAATATCTAGATAATCGAATCTGCTAGTATTCGAAAGACATTTTTAATGAAATAAATAATTATTCCGTTGCTTAAGTGAAAAGAAATTGTTGTGATCCAATCGACCCGAGTTTGCTCTTTTAAAAGGTCCTAAATCGAATAAGTGATGCAACTTCCAGCTATTTCATTATTTAACTGATTTAAACTTATTTAACTGATTAATGTGTGACAACATTAATACAATTATTCCAACAGACAATAAACATTAAACATATTAATACAATTATAAATTATAATTTAAGATTTTTTTTTATAACCTTGTCATTACAAACTGCTCTTTTTCATTTCAATGTCAAGATATCATATACTTATTATAAATTTCAAATATTATTATGTATTGAATATATATACAAAGTGAATGTAATTAATAATGAAACATAATAGTATTAATGATACCTTGTTAGTTACTCAAAACTCAATAGTCTCTCAATTAATAATTTTTTTTCAAAGTGTTGTTTGATTTAAAATACATGACTATAATGCTATAAGTGTTTTTTAAATTAGAAACGAAGTGATGAGGTTAAAACATTTTGTTTCTTTCTCTTTATATAATCAACCCATTGCTTGTTTACTTTTCATCACTTTGAATTGAAATGTAACTCTTTGTACACAGGTAATACTTTTTAAACAATGATTTACTTTACATTTTAAGTAAAAGTTTTAAAATCATATAACTTAAAATGAAGATTAATGAAGCAAACTATTTTATCTATATAAGCTAGCACCCACATATATTAATTTTTAAAAGCAATTAACTAATAATATTCAATTCACATAACAAAGATATTTAAATAACATTAGTTGTTTTTGATCGCCTCCTATCCTCACTAATCCGAGGGCTTAGCATATCACAAGAGCGTTTATGATTAAAATTAATTCGATTTTATGTATTAATCTATTTGTTAGTTTTTATAGACAGTTTGTTATTGAAAATACATACGTATTAATTTGCCCTTGTATCGTGCCCTTCCATTTAACTATTTCTTGCAAAAAATGTTATTCGCAAATCTTATTTTTTAAAGCAGTTTCAAGAAAGATCATATATTTATTTTTAGTATAGTAGACAGTATAAGTCATTTGTTAAGTGCCTGTACTTTAAAAGTGCTTATTACCACTTATGTAATTGTAATAGTAATAAATACACCTGAACATAATACCATAGATTCATTATCTTTATACCCTTTATAACTGATATACCAAAGTATTTCCTTACACACATAATCGACTACTAATTGTGAACAGCTAGAGCCTGCCATAAATGATAAGTTTTTTATTGGTTTGCCTGTCTCTTACTCCCTATCGCTGCAAGAGAAGAATGAAATAAAATTATATGATAAGAAAATTACATACTTTATAAATAATTTAGAGGACATTTTTATAGTTCATATTAAAGATATAAAAAATACATCTTAGATATATTTACTTCAATTATCAAATATATATTTTTTTATTTATTTGCGTATTTAAATATATCTTGAATGGAAGGCCTTAAAGATGGCCGAGTCTGGACCTTCTTACTAAGATAAGGCGGACAGGTCTAAAGAGATCCGACCAGATATGCCTTAACAATTAACAATGAGACATTATACTTACGGGACGATAATTACCACGACTATTTGCAACCATCTAACTTATAGCTTAAAGATTTAATTGGTATCATACCACATACTTTAGAAATATTCCGTCGTATTTAATTACCATTTCTTAAATTATTTAAGTAATATTGAATTTGAATAAAGTTAAGCATTTGTTATGATACGCTTAAAAGGAAAAATAAAATTATTAAACAATATATTCTGCCCATTTCGTTTTCAGGACCTTGTGTTCGTTCCCTAATGGTTATCTTAATTTCTCGTCCTGACAAAAATGCATATTAAAACTTTTGGAAAGTTGCTCCTATAACGATTATAGTATTGTTTAATTCAATTAAGAAGTAAAGGAATATTCAAATTACTTCGGTTTCTAGTACAATTAGAATGAAAAAACCTGAGTGAGGTGAAGGCGGGAATCTATGTATCATCACAATAGCTTTTCTTATCAAAGCATTAACACCATTATACACTTAAGGAACATAAATTCTCCCTTCAATATTACAAGAATGAGTATTGATAAAATTCATATAATATTTCTTTTTCAATGTACCTAGTATTTGTGACATTATATTTTACTTAAAATAACGGTGTCATTATGATAAAAAGATAGTTAAATTTACAAATTTATTGTGAATAAAAAGGCAAACAAAGATATGTATCTTATATGTAATCTGGATATCTGAATTTCCTAAAATAATTAATCACCATGTAAATAATATATTAAATCATTTTGTGATTTTATCTATATTGGCTAATGAGTAATTAAAAATTGTGACATTATGTGCATTTATGAGTTATTTTCCTACAATAAGTAAGGTCAAAAATCTTTACAACTACCCTGATTTTTTTACAATACTCATTACAATAGCTAATTCAAATACCATATATTTCCACATATGTGCATGTTTGTACATATTCAAACAGCATTATTTAATATGTATATAGTCGGTATATATCTAACAAAGAGTATAATAAAGTTTACATAACAAAGTATTTAACTTAGGTAGGTTTTATCATGTACTGGACTCCGAATGATACAGAGATTTGCAAAATCTATAACAGTCATATTGGCGTTATCACTTTAGTTTCTCCGCTTGTATTTATTTATATTTTTACTTTCTCATGTAATATTAATAATTGAGAATCATTATATATAATTTCGGTATAAGATTGTATAAAAATAACTCTTACAATTTGATATACTATTAGTGAATTTAAAATGTTATTTTTCTTTTACTTGTAACGTTTACTGAAAAATATTTAACAAATTTTCAATATTTATATCCATTAGTTGTCACTATTTTTAAATAATTTTATATCAAGAAATAGATTATAAAGGGAAATAAAATATTAAAATTTGTTTTCATAACGTTATCATGATACTTCTCTCATCAATCTTTTATTTTGATATTGATAATATTTAACAGATATTGGAGGTCTAGACGTTAATAAAAGTGCCATTAAAATAGCTCTAATAACTAGAAAACATTAAAAATAGAAAAAATACGTAAAACATTTGCATAGAATCGATAAAATTACGACATGAAATTTCAGATTATGTGAAAACTATTCTAGGTATATTATTGTAGTGCAAAAATAAATACGATTTTTATCCCCAATGGCTACATTTTATATGAATAGGACAAGTATTTATTTCCACGTATAAAAATCCTACAGAAACGAAAATATAAGACTCTGACTCGAGCAATTACTCCCGTAAAAAATATGATTGATTATGGCACATCATTCCCATTTATCATTAAAAGAAATATCAAGGAAATTATATTGAAAACAAACAAGATAAGATAATTATATTATACAAAAGAATTTATACAAAAAGCATTTAATAAGAATTTCAGCAAAATTGTGTCGATGATCAAGATATGATAGACGTAGAATACATACTATTTTTTGATATTTTAGTAGGAAAGAACCAGTTTAGGAGATTAGTTATTATAGAAAATTATGATGAAAAATCAAAGAACATTCCAGAATTAAACTACAAAACTCACATAACTTCCTATTCATAGATTGCGTTAAGAGAATAATAGTTTAATTATACCGGCAGCTTGTCTTACAATATTCAATTACATGGAAAATAACTTCACCATTCCGTTAACGAGGACTCAAACAGAAAGATACAAAATGTTGGACAGACAATAAACCTGTTTCAGAGATTAGGATTTGTTATTTTGTAAAAACATTAACGAGAAATACTAAATGTAAGAAATATATGTGTGTATGAATATATATATATATATATATATATATATATATATATATATATATATATATATATATATATATATATATATATATATGTATATATATATATATATATATATATATATATATATACATATATATATATATATATATAAACAATTAGCCAAAACTATTAACAAACATATAAGGCTGGCTAAACCTGGGAAATTGCCATGAAGATAAATATATGTAATTAAAATAAATTATATTTAAAAGTAATCGAATGTGGAAAGTTTTATTCATGGTGGAGTGTAATATGTATTGTAACGGATAATTTTACTATTTTTCATTGTTATTTTCTCGAAAGATCCAATTTTCAAAGTCTTGAATAGCTTTCTAAAAAATATGTGTCCTTCACTGCTCATTATCTTTTAAATAATTTATATTTTTTAAGAACTTAAAAATTATTTTGAAATGAATTGCAAAATTTAAAACTGTATATGTGAGCTATTATCATTTCATTAATAAAAAGTAAATCTTATCCTTAATTCAAGTTGGATTTACGGATTGGACTTCAACCGAGATAAAATGACAATATTCAATATTATAGCTGTGTGAATAAAAATAACAAAAAAACAAATATTAAAAAAAAAACTTTTAATATTGCGCATTATAAAAAGTTGAAAGGCTTCGATATAAAAAGTATTTTAAGAATAGTCTTAAAGCAAAATGCAAAAAATTATAGTTTGTAAATATATATATTTACAAAACTGTATAAAGAAAAATGGGCAATGGTAAGTGGCAGTGGGCTGGTCACATATGCAGAAGGACAGACGCACGGTGGAGCAAGCGTGTCCTTGAGTGGAGACCGCGTCTCGGCAAACGTAGAGTAGGACGCCCCCCAGCTAGGTGGACCGATGACCTTAAAAAGGTCGCTGGGTCTCACTGGATGCGGAAGGCAGAGGACCGAGTGTTATGGCGCGTGTTGGGAGAGGCCTATGTCCAGCAGTGGACTGCTATAGGCTAAGTGATGATGATGATGATAAAGAAAAATTATGTATTATTTTGTAGGTATGACGAATGTAGGTGTGTATGTATCTTATAACTGGACTAATATGTTATATTTTACATATAAATTTAAAGTGGGTATCATCAAAATTGAGGTTTAATAAAATACTAAAAAATTTAAAACTAATGAAAAAAAAATCTATCTTCTATTAACACTTAAATATTTTGGAAGAGAAGTGTTTATATAAATTACTTGGAAATTTATGAAACAACTGCAAAAATGTGTATGATTATTATAAAAGCAACAATAGGCAAAAATCAATTACGTTGATCCGCCTATATTTTTATAAAAAAAGAAGCTTAAATCAATGTATATATAATATGTAGTGTAAACAAAACATTGAATAAAAAACTGCAAAGATTATTATTTAGTTTACAATGATGCTGAAAATTATAACTATAATCGTCAGTTTCAATTCGGCCACAATTTTAAGAAAAAAATATCTTTAAATCACCAAATATGAAGTTAACTAATAATAATTAATCGGAACTCGAAGTTTGTGACATAATCGCAACTTTTATCTAGATGAACGAAATTCACAAGAGTGTAATATTACACGCGTTGCTGCTGATAAATACAGTGTTTGAAAGATAAGATAAATTATTTTTAATTATAAAGAAAACCGAAAAGACCCTTTGTTTATAAATAGGTGTAAGGAAGCTCGCTTCTCTAGTAGAGCGACGTCTAAGACATGCGAACTTTCTAAACGGAGAGTGCTGTGTATTTATAAAATATGGAGAAAAATATTTTTTATGTTTTTTTATTAAGTGGTATAATTGGTTTTGCGGACGCGTCACTTAAGATAGATTTGAGCAAAAGTCGTGTATTCGATTATGATCTTTACAATAAAGTTCTGAATTCGACAGAATGCAGGAGGCAAATTACATATATGCAGTCAAACGACCTTTTACTTTTTGGTCGATGTAAGTAAAATATTTTCTAAATAATATATTATTTATAGTTATTTTACGTTAATATAAACAATTTACTTATTTGATTTTATTCTTAAAAATTTACAGGCTTACACTAGCTAACAATTAATTTTATTTTTATTCTAGTTCTGGATTCAGGAGTGCGGATTCCAAGAGGGCTTTTTATGCTTTCTTTCACAGACTTAGGAAATTATGACCAGTGCCTTGCAATAGACGAAGAAGCCGATGAGATGAAAATACAGGGGAAATATGCTGTTTTTACACTGCCCTTTAATCAGACATTGCAATTCCCATTTGTTAATTTCACTCAAAGGAATTTGGAGAATAGAAAATTTGTACAATTTAAAAGCATTATTCAGGAAGTTCAGTCAATAGCAGTTCCCAATATTGATTCCGATTCGTTAGTATATACAAATGTTTATTAGTGTGTTCTAATACTGATATTTTATTAAAAAAAATAAAAAAAAAATATTATTCTTTAGATTGGACCCAGAAAATCCTTTGTCTATTGCTGGAATGCGTTTCGCTGCATGTATGCCCAAGTCCTGTAGTTTGAACGACTGGTTGGATATGCCTTTTATCAACATTACTGCTTGGGGTATTAAAGTTCAAAGGGAGTTCTACCGTCTACCCAATGACAAACCCTGGGTTGGTGCCGATTATGCGGCTATGTAAGTAATTTTTTGTACTTAAAAAAATTAAAATCAACAAATCATAAAAAATAGCACCAAATTGTAAGACATACTGTTTAAGAACGTATACAAATATTATTGATTAGAAAATGGCATATAATGTTATCATGTCTAAAAGGCGACGAACCTAAAAACCTTAATTACCTTTAATTTGGAGAATGTAATTTCTATTTTCAATAAAACGGTATGAAATATATTTTTACTTTTGATGAATTGTGAGGTCTTTTGTAGTTATATATTTAAACAAAAAAAACTATGTATATAGAGTAATTGTTTTTCGTAATGATCTTTTGTTACCCGCAGCAATTAGCTATCTTAAATCTTTGCAGTTAAGTATTTCTTATAGAAAAAAAAAATTTGGTAAAAGGTTTTGCCAGTCACAAAAAATTTTGAAAACATCGCTTACACTTTATTTTACTAAGTTTTCCGTATTTGCTGCTAAAAGAAAAAATCCCACTTTCAACATTTAATCATCCTTCAATTATAAAAAAATAAATAATATTTCTGTAATACTATAAAATATTTAAGTTTAAAATTTATTATCTACTTTTATCTTCTTTAGATTATTTATTATAATCAATAAATTTTAGAATATCCCCGCATATATTTTAACAATAAAATATCAATAACAAATAATCCATTTTATTACTTATAAATTTTTGCTGTATCTAGGAAATAGATAATAAATTTTAAAAGTAAATATCCAGTAAATTATTTAAGTAACAGATAATACTTTATGTTTTAGCAAAATCTGTAATTCAAAAACAGCAATTAATATTCAAGAGCTTACACCACAAGAAATGACAAGAAATTTAGCTAGCATTTGCTGAATTGCCCAGTTTTTTTTCAAATAAGTTTATTTAAAAAAAAAACAAATGTATAACTAGATATCTTAAAAAAAGTTCATCCTCTAAAATTGTTCTTTTATGTCAGAATGTTGTTTACCTTTCCGTCTTTTTTTTCCAGTGGAATCTTATCAGCCCTGGGTCTTATAACAATTCTTGCTACTCTTTATGATATCAACCACATCGTCATTAAAAAGCAAGGTAACATTTTATGCTCTGTAATGATTACTCACTTTATATTTACATTCTTCTAGAAGAAGAAGAATGTAAATATAAAGTGAATATAGACTAGCTGTAAGAGCAGTGAATAAAATAAAATATATATTCTTTTTATCTTTTAGACCCAAAGAAAGCGAACACATATTACCGAATATTCTCAGTATATACTAATACTCGCCGACTTTTGACCTTTGTACCAAACCCAAATGCTTTGGATTGCTTGGACGGAATCAGATCCATATCTATGCTGTGGGTCATTCTTGGTCACGCTTTTTCTATGCACAACTTTCACGCAAACCTCACTGATGCTCTGCTGGTAATTTTATGATACTTACAGAATTTTTTCTTATGTAAATACATAGTAAGAGCAATATGATATGACTGAATATTTTTTGTAGTGGTTGACAAGCGCCGATGCTATAATAATTTCAACGGGCTTATTCTCAGTAGATTCTTTTCTATTGATGGCTGGGCTTTTGCTTGTCTACACAACTGTTGGAAAGCTAAGAGGAAGTGAGTATTTTTCAAACGAAATATTTATATATATATATTCGTGGCAAATATAAAATATTATGTCAAACATTTTAACGAAACGTGATAATCGGTTTATAGGATCAATTTATGTCAAACCAAAATGAATATAAAATTATTTATCAAGGATCATTTGTGAATGCACACTTTGTCACGTTATTTTCTTTATAATTCATTAAAATTGCCAAAAATGGATTAGTTTTATCAATGACAAATGTTATAAATACACCTCAGTTTATTTGGCGATTAAATTATAAGAATAATTATTTTAAATATTTTTTGCACCAAAAATTATCACAACGAAATAAACAAAAACAATAACAAGTGAATCATAATTTATATAGGGTGGGTTGCACAGCTGTTAGAGGTTCTAGGAAAGCTACAAAAGTTACTAATATATATATTATAATGTAATTAATAATATATTATTTAAAACTTATAACCTATACCTAAGACTAGATGAATATCTGAGGTTTCGATAGCAATGTACACACATCATTCTGTCGCTTCTGTTGTATCAACAAAGTTCTAGTTTATGAGGGTAGATGTTCTTTTCGCGGAGTCAGCAACGTCACTTGTAATGTAATAACTATTTTATCCATACAACGATATTGCCCCTACGATGTTTGTTTATTTTTTTTAATTTGCTGTGCGTGCGTAACTTATTATATAATTTTGATATCTTTTCCAGATCAACTGATAAAGCGTCTGCATTTATTTTATCTCAATCGCATTCTACGAATGTTTCCGCTGTTGGCTATCTTAGTTCTCCTAGAAGCCTCTTTACTACATCGAATAGGAGACGGACCTTACTGGGAAAAGGTTGCGTCAAATACAGAAGCTTGTAGAACTTTTTGGTGGACTACTTTGTTGCACATACAGAATTATGTCAACCCTGAAGACATGGTATGTGGTTATATGTTTTTATGTGGTAATATTACGACATTTACATTTAAGTTTACTTAATTTCATACAAGCTCGTATTGAATTAAAAAAATAATAATTGTGTTATTATGTTACAGTGCATTAAACACTCCTGGTACATTGCTATTGATATACAACTGCATATCTTGTCACCATTGGTTCTATACTGGGTCTTAAGTAAAAACCGTAAAGCAGCTTGGACGTCACTATCAACATCATTTTTAGCTGTAATGACTGCTTCGACAATTTTCATTTTTATGAAAGATCTGCCATCTACCAATATGACTATACCGTAAGTCTTAGTATTAAAATAACTTATGTTCGAATAAAAACAGATAAAGAAAGTTATACATTTATTATCCCTATATAAATATATTGTATATTGTATCTTATAATAAAGCACTTTTCCAGACGTCTCGAAGAACAAACCTATTATATGAATGTTTTCTACATGAATACTTTGACAAGAGCTTCTCCATTTTTAATTGGAATGATAGCAGGATACATTATAAATATGTATAAAGGAAAAGAACTTAAACTGAATATGGTAAGATTTCAAAACATAACTCCTACCTAGATAAAGCGGTATCGGAAAAAAAAATTATATTTAAACATCATGATACTCCTTTTTTAGGATTATTTCAATAAAAAATTAATTAACTAATAATAATTTTTTTGTGATTTCAGTTTTTTCTGGTTATTATTTTATATTTAATTTTTTTTAAGTCCAGATAAAAATCAGAACACAAATCCAACACATATTATTTTAATTTTTAATCTAGTTTTCATTATTTAAATTCAATCAGACGAACCATTATTTTCTTTCCTTTCAGTTTTTCGTCATAATCGCTTGGATTATTTCACTTGCACTTATTGGATTCTGTTTTTATGCTTCATACGAGGTAATGCAACTGGATTGGGACGATCAAGTTCTAGACAGTCTATTTAATGCATTCATGAGAGCAATTTGGTCTATTGGTTTGTCATGGCTAATATTTGCCTGCGTCAAAGGATACGGCGGTGAGTTTATAACCAATTCATAAAAAAATTCAAATACTGCTTCTCTGACTGGCTATCTTTTTATGGTATCACCTGTTTCATTTATTGCCAGCAGTCATAAAGTCGTATCAATTATCTTTGACTATTTATTATCCGTGTATTATATAATGCTATTATTTGTTTTATCAGGGCCAATAAATTGGTTACTAACGCTTCCTATCTGGAAACTACCAGCTCGGATCTCATTTGCGATGTACTTATATCATTATCCCCTTATGTTTATGATTGCTGGAATGCAACTACAACCGACCTACTTCACTGTGTCAGGACGAGTAAGTCATATTTAATGAATAGGATATTATGTGGAATCAATGATAATAATATCTAATCTTACCGATATTTATTCTTATGGTACGGGAGTTCGAATGATACACCGTAACAGTTCATATTTTTAATGTATTTTTTTTTTTCAGATGTACGACTTCCTGGCATTTTTGTCTATATCTTTTCTGGTATCATTCGCTGTAACAGTGCTTGTGGATGCTCCATTTTCAGTAATAATCAAAATATTAATGGAAGGAGGTAATTAGTAGTAGTGGCTCATTCATAAATAATAATTTTTAGACAATTGACTAATGTTCAGATAATAATCTTCTCTAATCTGGAAGAATAACGATGTACACAATTTTCTTCCAGGACAAAAACGCCCCCCAAAGCCAGCAGAAAATGGAAGTCATAAGACCGGTCCCTTGCCAACCAAAGACGTCTCTGCCTTAGAAAGGAACATAATCACAACACTACAAAAAGATCCCTCTATAATGGAGAAAAACCAAGCCTTAGTAGGTGAAAATATATCAGCTGAGAAGAATGGTATTCCGGTTCACAGTAACGGCGTGACCTCTGAAAAAAATGGATGTATCCTGGAAACATCTCCACTCAATGAAGAAGTTTCCAATGCAAATGGTACTGTAATTGTTAAAAATGATACAATTTGTGAACCTAATGGAAAAATAGATCACAATGGGACTGGAAAAGAAGAACTTCATGTTGAATCGACCAAAGACATATCAAGATTTTAAAACAACATTTTGATTATTGACTTTGAACTCTTTGGTGATATAAAACCAAATAAGTTTATATAAGGCTATATTTTAAAGTTTTTTAATTAATTTGAACATCTTATTTATTGATATAATTTTTAAAGTGTAAATATGTATATTATTAATTGAATGCATTATTCAAAAAGCAAAAAGAATTATGCGTATGCACTTAATAATTTAACATGGAAGGCTGTTGTATTGTATTTTAAAAGTTGTGTTTGTAAAAAGCGTGACTACCGTGATTGTGTACAGTGAATGAAGCGTGATTTGTGTTAAAGTAATCTCAATAAATTTATTCTTATATTATAAGATTTGTATTTTCAAAAATAATTATAATTATGATATTTTGATAATTATTTTTTGTTATACATTTTGAACCCATCCTTACTTATTACATTCCACAAAACAGTGTGAAGTATAAAAAGATATTGGGAATTAATGTCTTAGGGACATTCCAATTTTTGATAAATTATTGATTTTAAAATATAAATAGTTTAGTGATGGCATTAAATAGTCTTTCACGCTAAAATTTTGAGGATCTCTTGTATTCAACTTTACAATTTCTAGGTTTTTCAATAACTGTTTTTTAATAACATTTGGAAACTTAAGAATTTTAATGTGTACAATCAAATTAAAATGTAAATTTAATATGTCTACGTTGTGTACAAGACAAAGCCCTAAAAAATTATATTACTTATACCAAAAATTCTTAAATGACTTTGAGTTACGTTATAATGAAATTGCTTTAAGCGTTATTTGAAAATGTTTTGTGACCTAACCTACAGGCCACTTTCAGAGAAAATCAATTGACTGTATTTTTAATTCTTTACATATATCATACTTTTTATAATCCCTATTCCAAAATAAGGGAATAAGTTTGACGTCTATAATACAAACATTACAATATATATATCTAACCAGTATTGAAACTAAAGCCCTCGTACATAAGACTGACTTGTAGCCTTTAAACTGAATGAATTGTATACCCAATTATTTATATATATTGAGAAACGATTTAATGTACAATATTAGAAAAAGGTATGGGTAATATTGAGTATATTTCGGTTGAAATATTTCTTTGAATATTGTCGTATTATAAAATATAAATTCAAAATTACAATTTACTTACTTATCTAGACAGGAAATAATAGGTATTATCCTGATCATGATATTAGGAAGAGATCAAAGATTTTGTATTGTGCTAGTTGTTGCTTACAGCGTTGCTCATATGTATATGAACCACTTTTGAAAATAAAACTCTTCAACCTTTTAAAGTTCCATTCCATTTCTCGACGTCCCCCTCATCAGACCCTGATTCGGTGACAGTTTAAGTACCTCAGGATTGAGCCCTGTCCATTAAATAAGTAATATAATTTAAAGAGTAATAGTTTTACAAACATAACCTGAAATTGAAAACATTATTTTTTGTCTCGGTTGAAATTAGTTCAATTAACATTTTGTGATATCGTCTGTCTGAGTAAAATTCCGATGAAAATCAGTCCACATGTTCACGAGATAAGCTAAATAAACTAGACACAAAGAATGTCAAAAAAATCACATAGTGTACATATTTCTAATATAGGATTCGTTAATAATTAAAATCTATTAATTTCAAGTTAAAGACATTTCCCATTTATTAGACTGCCATCTACAAAAAAAAAATCAAACCACTTGCAAACGACAAAACGACATATAATTTCTGACAAGAAAGATAGTAGTAAGAAAACTTTTTACTAGGTGGCGCTTTTCATAACATATAATGAAATAAATTTAATGTCTTTTAATAATTTAATTTAATTTAATGTCTTTTTAATTTAATGACGATCCCTCTAATAATTAGTTTAATAATGGTCAATACTTAAAACAATGAGTTTTGTATGCATATAATGTAATATTCAAAAAATACTATCGTATTCTAATCGTGCTATGACAATTTATAACCTTTATACAAAACTAATAGTATTGTACTGTTTTTTTTTTTAAATATTATATTACTTTGTAATATTATAATCATTTAAAAACTTGAAACGTGCGTCGCAAGCAGCCCTAGTAGTTTGTAACAAAACTTTTGCTTAGTTAGAAAGAGGAGCTTGGACGGTGGATATTGTCGTTTAACTAAGCGCCTCTCCCTACAACGCGATGGACCTGGCACCCGCAAGATGAATTCATTGAATGTTAAGAGGTTTCGTCTTATTTTACTAATAATTTCAACATTGTGCATATTCAGTGAAATTTATTAAGTGTTTAAATTGAAAATATTAGAAGGATTTAATGGACCTTAGATCTCGTATCTGGTGAAGCAAACATATCTTTCAGAATTGGTGTTGCGATTAAATAATTATGTATGTTTTAAAGAAAGTATCCTGAAGATTAAGCTAATTTTCTGTCATTCAATATTTACTTTACATCTCATATTCACTCTTAATAATATTACCAGCTACTGGTAATCTTTCAAATTAATTAATGTCTTATGTTGGTCAGAAAATATTATATAATACTATCAAAAATGTTTTGTTTTGTGCAAATAACTAAGATAGCCAGTATTTCGGTCGATGAACGCCCTTATCAATTAATGTCAATAAAGTCAGATAACAATCGCTTTAGTTATATCATTTGATAAAAAGTTTAGGATTCATTTTTGTATTTAATATTTTTTATTCGATTTTTCAACTATTTATGAGAGAAGTATGAGTACGTCTACGTCTTTATTAACTCGTGAAACTCAAATTATTGATCGGAAAATTATTTACATACGCAGATTGTAGACACTACTTTTCTAAAAATAGCAACTTTTATAGCCTTATGATTTAATTTATTAGATTTTACTTCATACCAAACACTTTTACTATAGTTTTATTATTTAATATTATATATTTGTACGTACTCAATACATCCTGAAATTTATAAAAAATTAAATATTATATACTGAACCTTTTGTCAGAAAAGAAACGTTCTTATTAAGGATATTACATTGATTAGATGTTAATCAAGTACCGTCTAGTAATATAATTCATTTTGACAACGCGTGATACATTTAAAAACATTTAAATCAACGTGTCTGTGTCCGTTGCACTCAAACAAAATAGAAATGAAAAAAATATTTTTCTTTAATATAATTATAAACATATCTCGACTAATTAATTGTCATATGTTTCTGGAATGGCAACCACCAAATAGTGCAATTAATAATGAGATATACGAAAATGTTCTAGATCCAGAAAAATGTCAGAGAGATTTACAATACATGATTAAAAATGATAATTACCTATTGACTGAATGTAAGTAGATTTATGGATTTAATAATTAATTTTAATTTGAGATTAATAATATGATTATAGACGTATATTTCCAGGTGCATATCCTTATCAGTATTTATATATTTTATGATATCTTTGCATTTCCTGTTATACATAGTTTAGTGTATAAAAAGAAAATCTTAAATATTTCGTAATTAACTAAACATTAAATTAATTATACCATGCTACATAATTAACGTTTTCAGTCTTGGACGCTGGTTTAAGAATTCCAAGAGGAATACTCCAAGGCAACACTGTTGATTTCGGAAATTACCATCAATGTATAGGAATCAATCGAGACCTTAATGATACTAGTATAAAAGGAAAATATTGTGTTATAGAAGTTCCACTTAATCAAACTTTTTCTATTCATAAATATAAAACCAATTATTTTAATCCCACGTTTATGGATTTAGATGAAAGTATTAAGTCCAAATTAAAAGAATATGAACATATGAAAATCACAGGATTTAAATTATTGGATGGGATGGACACTTATGTTGGTGATCAAAAGTAATTTTTAAGCCCATTATTTAAAGTAATGCCGAATGCCGCCTATAGTAGGATCAATATAAATTTCCTTGTTGCAGAGTAAGAGATGGTAATCCTCTCTCAGATATAAATTTTCGCTTAGCTTTATGTTTACCTAAATCATGTACCACAAAAGAAGCTCTTAATGCTTTCCTTTTTGATATAGCTGATAAAGGCTTTATATACAAAGATGACTTTTGCCGCTTTGCCAATGATAAACCATGGCTTGTTGGTGATACAGTAGCAGTGTAAGTTCTGTCTATCATAGATCAACTGCTTATAACTTAATTCTCAAGAAATTTAATAATTAATAAGAAACTACATATATTGTATTGCAGTGTTATTTTATCCCTTTTGGGATTTATTGTACTTATTTGCACAAGTTATGATATTTGGTACAACATCATACTTAAGAAAGGTGATTAATTATGACATACTAATAAATTGGTAAATGATAAACAACTAATAGTTTGAACATACTTTTTCAGACTCCAAAAGCAACAACTTAGTGCTTGGTTCTTTCTCAGCATATACTAATACAAAAAACGTTGTAACTTTTAAATCCACTTCTAATTCATTACTTTGCTTGGATGGGATCAGAGCGTTATCAATGATTTGGATAATTTTTTCTCATTCATTTTCAACCCAAATGTTTATTATGAATCCTATTGATAGTATTAAGGTGGGGTATCTTATATCAATCACTTGTCTTGATATTATACATATGTACATATATAATACATTATTTTTTAGTGCAGTGGGTAACCTCTTACAAAGCCATAATAATAGTTGCTGGTACTATTTCAGTAGACACTTTCTTTATGCTAAGTGGATTGTTAATAGTTTATACGGCAGCTAGGAAGTTAAGCGGTGGTAAGTAAATACAAAAATTGACATTGTTTGTACAATAAATATTTTAAAAATTTACTTTAAATATAAACATTTCAGTCCAACTTCTGAAAAATCTTCACTGGTTCTATTTAAATCGCCTCCTTCGAATGTTTCCCATTCTTGCACTTTGTGTGCTCTTAGATGCTACACTTTTCAATCACGTTGCTGATGGACCATTTTGGGGGCAGGTGGCTGGAAATGCTGATAGGTGTAAATCATTTTGGTGGACTGCACTCTTACATATACAAAACTATCTGAATT